TAAGCAAACTTATCAAATAGATGAAATTAATATTTAAGATTTTTTTAATAACTGACGGCAGAAGAAAGAGTATAGACTACCACACTACACTAATTAGTATAGAATATACAGAAACTAATTGGTATAGAATATATAGAAAGTTCTAGATCAGTACGATCCTAAAGATCACACAAATACTTGTACTTTCTCGTTTTCTTTCAAAATGTCATTTCTCCTAAAACAAAAGCAAAATTATATGAAAACAAACTGAGAAAAAAACAAGACGCTATCAATGCAGAAATATGATAAAAAAAGATGTAAAATATGTGCTAGCAAAAAGATACCTATATAGAAAATGGCAATCTGTAATATGTACCTAACATTTAAATCACATTGTACATTGACCTAATACACTGTTTTATGTTCAACATTGATAATTCATGCAAATGGACCGGAAGAAAACTAAATTAAATAATTTTTGAACAGAATATCATTTCGAATTTTTTCTGATAAACCTATCCAGGTAATTTAATTAAGTACACGTGAAGCTTTCTATCCGGTTACGATCAAGGTACATACACACTACGATTAATTCATCTTTATAATTTTAAACTAAAGGGATTGTAAGAATAACCAAATATAAATAAAAACAGAAGTAAATTACCAATAAAAAAACACAAGTCATGGATTAAAACCATGAGGGTATGGCACAACAATGGAATGCTCCTATTAAAATGATGCATAAATGATTCGTGTAAAAAATATGACAAAATGTAACCAGAATTAAAATGCTGAATTATGAATGCTAAAGAAATTGTAAATAGCAACGCAATTAATAAACAGCATCGGTCTCAACATCATTCAATGAGCCTCGCCAAAATTTTAATTTTTCGCGCTGCGAAAGCAGAGTTCGTTCTGTTCGGGTATGCCAAACGTATACTTTCGTACAACCATCAGCCTTTAGTTCCAAATCGTTTCTTTTCAAACCCAAAGCAGTAAGAAAATGAGACTCCTAAAAAGACATTTCTTTACTTGTATAGTTTGATCAGTATCAAGATACTCGTAAGCATGGCGGTATATGCATGGTGAACAAAATGACATAGATTAACCTGATAACCACGGGGCACATCATATGTAAAGAACGCATTAGCATTAAGTGCCAGAGATAAATTGATAGCAAATGCAGCCATATCTACAGGAAATGGTCGTTCTGGCTTCCACAGTGAATTGAATGATACATTCTTACCTGGAAAATTCGAATAATATCATTAAAATGAAAAGATGAATGAAGAAAGGGAATCATTAAGTAGTCCTATGAAATAAAACCATGATTAATAAAAAATACATACACGCACACACACACAAATACGGAACTCTCCAAAATTACCAAGTTTCAACTGTGAAGTGGACTTTAAGTAACTGTGATATGTATATATTACCTTCTGAAAGTTTAGCCGTTTCAACAATTAAACCACCAACGAGACCGACTGGCCATATACCCACTTTTTCTATGGATCGCATTTCATCAAATAATCTCCAGTCATAGGTATTGTCATCATCACCGAAATACACAATTCCTCTCTTTGACCTGTTTAAATTCCTCCTAAAACACGATATTAATGATATTCCAGAAGAGAACTTCCCTAGATTTCTAAATTTTCAGTTTTCAATAACATTTTGCTACAAAGGCAATGTCACCATCGAGAATATGCAAAATCACATCAAAAAAAATCTTTCAAGATTTTGATATCGATCGTGCATTTTGAATTAAAAAACTATAATCTTATAATTATTCAAAATCACGCAAAGTGGATAATTTTAAAAAATTTACAAAAAGAAATGATAAGTATTATAATAAGATCAAAAGATCAAAATTAATTACACGATTATGGTATGATCAAAATTAAAAACATTGAAGTTTTTGTTAAACTAATTATTCTTTCATGAAGGAGAGAACATTACATACAAATATTAATGAATAAATGCTGCTAAATAAAATTGAAACACCTCAACCACACCAGAGCTTTATTTCGTTGAACAACTCCTCGAGCAATTTTCCAATTCGGATCTGTTTCATTCGGTTTCTTTTTTGGAGGTGTAAGCGCATAAAGGTGAGCGAATCTGATACGATATCTTTTGAAAATTTCGGCAATGAAGGGCGATGTGTTATTCGCATCTTCGACTACAATCCAGTATAAGTTGGGAACATATGCTGAAATGTTTCAACAGAGTCTGAAATCACAAAGGTGTATGAATCTGCTTGGAGAAATATTAAACTGCAAAAAATATCCCAATAACATACCCAGTGTTTGTGCTAGGCGGACAAGATCTGCTTTTTGCGTCGGCCTTCGATAAGTTGGTGTGATAAAATAAATAAATGGGAGGCCTTTGCGCATTTCTGCTAGCGGTATCCGATCACGAACTCTGCAAGCGAAATCAAATTGCAATACTTCATAGCATGCATAGTTGCAAAAAAAATCATAATTATATTCAAAAACATTGAAGAACAGATCATTCAAAAAAAAATGTTCCATTTCAGGACTAAATTTTACAAACTTAAAAATTTTCACCCTTAATTTGAAACACCAAAACAAAAGGAAATACGGAACTAACAAACTATCAATTCGTTGCAACTTCTCCTCCATACGGTAGGTTTCCTTTTCTTGCATCCAAATCTTCTTATTCAATTCTTCTCGTTTCCTCAGTAAAGTATCAATTTCCGCAACAATCATAAATTTCTTTTCATCCAAATTTTGTAGCTGCATCCAAAAAACTGCCACTTGTGCAATAAAAAACAGGCCCACAGCGCATATAATTTTAAAAACGAGTCTTTCATCCAGCATACTGCCGATTCGCTCTCATCTGGATATCCGAGGTTTCGACAAAACACAAGGTGAGATTTTCTCCAGACAAAACGATCGAGCCCAGTTCAGCAAAATAATCAGCATTAACCCTTAGCCAATATCCGATTAAAAATATTGGAGTCGAAATTGACGCTTAACAATATACCGCTGCCTGTTATGCACGTGTTGCAAGAGAACTACCAATATTACTAGTAGTATTAAGATCAGATAGAGAAAAGGTTCATTTAACAATAATCAAACGAAAACTTAAAAATTGAAGCACCCAACTCCGAATTTGCATTTGCATGTACAGATAACAATGCGCAAACCAAAACGTTCATGAAGCGTAAGGAATATAAATGATAAGTTTTACTCCAATTCACATATTTACATGCACTTCATTTTATAACAAAAGCTTTCGGAGACTCATTTGCAGTCAATTTCATAGCATAATGACTCTTGACTACTCATCTATAAGGTCCACCAAAGACGAAAAAAATGTGGATTTTTTTCAGCAAATGGCATCAGATAAAAAAAGTATAAATATGAAAACAAGTTATAAAGACTCTTCATTACGACAGGAGAAACTGTTTTACACAAACAGATGTCTCAATCACAATACAAGTTGACAAAAGTATGTGATTTCAACTAATGAGTGTTCTTCCAAATCAGCTTATATTCAGGCCACGATAAACAATGTGTAACAAAGGAAACTCCACACATATCATGTATAATTCATGTCTAATGAGATCCAACAATTATAAAACTTCAAGGAAACCTAGTACTGACAATATACGTAATTAACGACATAACTGCAACAGTCTCGTTTCGTATAATACTAGGATAACTCAGAGCATTAAAGACATAAAAAATAACTGCATAATATAACAGATAAAAAGAAACAGAAATATATGTACATACATATTCACTTCTTTGTCTTCCTCGGTTTTTTTGCATATTTTATGGCCAAAGAATCACAAAGTTGGTTAAATGATGAAAGATTCTTTTGCTGTCGATTTTGAATGAGAGTGGCCAGATCCTTAGTGCCTTCATTCTTTTGAACCTCTTTTAACATCTTCTCCGCTTCCTTTAAAAATTTTGACAAAGAAAAATATGAAGTGATATACTTTAATATAAATTAGGATATCTTTTTCCAATTCAATGTGTCAAGCTAAAAGATATAAAACATCATTGAAAACGAACCTCTGCTTCACGCTCTGCTGCTTTACGACGTTTAGCTTTTCTTTTTTCCGGTTCAGAAACAAAATATCGAGTTGCCTTCAACTCTCCGGATTCAATCATATCGCTTATTATCCTATGCAAACGCTCTTCATCTTCGTATGTAACACCAATAATATCATTTAGGATTTTCCCCATATCTCCTTTGTACTTTATATAAGCCTCTTTAACTGCATCACGTTCTTCTCCAGAGTCTAAAGTCTACGAAGATTTATGCCCTCGACACTTAATCATACTTATCCTATTAAAATGACTTTACCCTCATCCGCATTAATTTCATTTTATTAATAGCGCCTTCTCCGTAACTGCCTCATAACAATAGAAAGTAAGAAATAATAACAGCGAGCTCTAGTGAAACCTCTGAATTTTCGTATGAAGTTGTCGATATCCTCCTTTGTTATCTTCCTAAATATCAGTCTCCATTTAGCAAGCCAGTCCACATCATCAGAGCAAATTTCAGCATTATCCACAATTCCTGTAAGGAAAGATTAGTGATACTAAAGAGAATTAAACTGTGAACAAAAAAAATAAGAGGAAGAAAGAAGTCACTTACCCGTTTCATCATAAATAGCTCTCTTTTGCTTATCACTAAGAATAGCATATGCACGATTCAAAATCTGAAATTTCGCTGTTGTTTCCATCTTTTTTGCTTCATCATCGCAACGATCAGGATGGAATTGCAACGACAGTTTGAAGAACGCTTTTTTAACTGAAAATAATCAAACAAGTGAAGAAAAAATTCCGAAAGCAACGAATCTAAAGAAAGACCCCGAATATCTCCAATATATCATAAATACATTCATAAATGAATTTCAAAAACAATGTTCAAGCATTCATAGGAAATGTTTTTTAAAAATTACTCCTTTAATTTTCTAATCATTTCCCCTATTCTTATTCGATATCTGTCAGTCATTATTAACAAATAAATTAAATCAATACATCATTCGACATAAATTCTTAATAAAATTATTTCCTTCTTCCATGCATCATTAATCATTATCCTAACTCAAAGTGCTGCAGGATAATGACAGTTCATGCGAAGCATTTATTACGAAATAAACTTACTGTCTGCTTGGGTGTAATCTTTCAGTTTTGCTTTCGATTCTTTCAAGCGCAAAATTTCATATAGGTCTGTCGTACCAAAGAGACGCTTCGCATCACTAACAAATGACATTTCCAAAACAGTTTCGATAAAGTTCCCACTTAAAACTCTATCGTATAATATTGAACTGATGAATGAAATGAAACATGACTCACTATTCATATGAAGAAATTCATGAAGTTAAGTAAATCTCTTAAAAGTCTGGGTATTCATGAATCAAATTCAAGGAAAGCTCCGAATTTTCTTCCCACTTGGAGAAGAACCAACATCTTTCTCTTAATGTTTTTTCAAATAAGATATATGGAAAAGCTCTCCAATAATGAAAAGCCCTCCGTTGCATGCTACTATCGTGAAACAAAGGAAATGTCAGAGTTGAAGGCATTAGTAGAAAAGTGATGGTAGACTTTATGATATCATTAGGCCAATAATAGCGCGGGCTATTAATTTATTGATTTATCGTTTTCATATAGGATTGATATATTACTCTCTTGTTGTTTTTATTTTATGCTGTAGTTCTTTAAATAAATGCTATTGTTTTGAGGTATAAGTGCATACTTAAAGCTGCAAGTTTTAATTTCGATGAGTTCAAGTGATGATAATGATGATCGTATACAGGAAGTGAAAGTCGTAGCACCGATTAATATAGCACTGGTCAAATATTGGGGCAAAAGGAATCAAGTATTTTCTTGAATTATTAACTTAAATTATTAATATTATAAACAAATCTTTTGATGTGAAAATGTATAATTGTACCTTTTATGTATGCTTTATTTAATAACAGAAAATTGAGTACAGGTGATAGTGTTCAAAAGATTCTTTAGCAGAAATATCCTTCAATCTTTAACTGAAAAAGAGTTAACAGTCTTTTGTCCAAGCCTTAGATGCTTAAAAGATTTATTGCGATACAACAATACATTTCTAAAAAATTGATATTTTTGCATTTTGTATATTTTCAGGACCTTATGCTTCCACTGAACGATTCCATCTCACTTTCTATCAATGATGTTTGTGCGAAAACGATAGTGCGGATAGGGCCATCTATTAAAAAAGATTCAGTCTCTATCAATGGTTCAAATGTCTGTTTTTCAAAACACCCGGAATTTCTTCGGTGTTTTAAAGTGAGGTTATTCGTTTTCATCTGATTTATTGTTTATAATTCTTTGAAATGTTTTATGAAAACAAAAAAATTCAATTTAAGGAAGTGAGAAGACTAATTCGAAAACGTTCCATCATATCAGAGAGGAAGTCGGGGAAGCAAGACTACTTCAGCAAGTTTGAAGTCACATACTTTCTTTCTCCATTATGTTAAATAATTTAAACTACGGAAAGTCTTATAATTACTCTCAGCCATACGCACGCAAATGTTCTTTGCTTTTTAAAGCTTTTTAAAAAATTTTGTTTTGATTGCTTCAGATTGTCTCCGAAACAAAATTTCCTATTCAAGTAGGACTTGCTTCTTCAGCAGCTGGTTTTGCGGCTATTGCATATGGTCTTGGGCAGATTTACCAATTAACTATCAGCGACATAGTTCGTGTTGCTAGAATGGGTAGTGCACTAGTTTTTTTCCAGCTTGAATCACATCGTTATATATTCTGAATATTTTATACAATTGTACTTACAGTATTTTGATTATGTTATTGTTTATATGACTAAGAAAAAGATTTCTGATTAAAGTGATAGATGATAATTAAGACAAGGTTACAGTGCTTTTGAAATGATCACAAATTTGATTATTCAGGCTCTGGAAGTGCATGTCGGAGTATTTTAAGTGGTCTTGTGCATTGGAAAGCAGGTACTGCAGAAGATGGTGCCGACTGTATTTGTGAAGTATGTTTATTCATCTTTTCAATTTTAATATTTTTCGTAGCTCCGTGTGTTCGAAGTGAAAGATTTTAAGGAACAACGATATTTGTTCCTTAAAATAGTCACAATTAAAGGAATAGTCACAATTAAAGATGAAGGACATATCATATATCAATCAAATAAATTTGATGATAAAATCACACTTCCTAACCAAAAGTGTCGACGAAATAAATTTTTTCAGACGCTTTTCTCAGAAAATTATTGGTCTAGCTTGAGGTCACTAATTTTGGTAACCTCACATGATGCAAAGAAAGTTGGCAGTTCTAATGGAATGGAATTAACTGTTAAAACTTCAAAATTATTGCAAGCTAGGATGGATATTGTGCCTGGACAAATAATGAAGTATATTCGGGACATTTTTTCATCACTATGAAAAGCGTTATCGTTGCTTCAGTTCAATAATATCTATGTGATTCTGCTTGACTGCAATACCTTTTAATCAAACTCTTGTCTCCAGTGTGCTTTAATTAGAACGTTTGGCAGGAGGGATATTGCAGATTAAAAAATGCTTTCCGCGATAGAAATTTCGAGGAATTTGCCAAAGTAGTAATGTCAGACAGTGGACAATTGCATGCTTTATGTATGGATACCATGCCGTCTCTTAAAGTATCTTTTCAATTTTTTTAAAATTATGTTTCAAAGATGGTACAAGAGAACTAGGAGCAAAATTTGTGGCGATCGCAAGAGGTACTGTACTGTCAAATTTCATTGCTGTGAATTCAAAATAATTTAAATCATAACCCTTAAAAAATGAAGCATTACTTGACTATTTTATAGTTTTTTCGAATATATAAATTTTAAATCCAAGACTGGATTATGTTCATTTTCAAAGTGTGTAAGGACTACTTTTCAAATGATGTTTAATTTTCATTTTTATTTAAAATCAACCTAATTATAGCCATTAGCTCCTAGCTTTTAAGCAGTTAATAAAATTAGTTAAAGGCAATGAAATTTTTTGGCGAATTACACATGTGACTACAAGGAATAGTCATATAAAGCACTTAAAACATTTATTGATTTCAGTATTTGAACGATAATTCTTGGTATTTTATGCGACTTATTTATGCTCTGAACAGACATTGCAAGAGCACGAAAGTGGCTTACACATTTGATGCCGGTCCGAATTGCTGTTTATTTTTGGAATCTGTTAACGTGCCATTAATTCTGGCTGCTATCAATAAATATTGCAAACTACAGTCTGACCTCATAGGTGCGTAATTTACCGTTTCATTATTTATTTGCAGTTTTTATAACTTCCCAAATCCAAACTCTTAATTTTATAAAATAATCCGATAATATCAAAAGCTGCTGAATTTCATTTCAATTTTCAGTTCATTGTAGCTTACGATAGAGTAGATTGAAACAAAAGTTTGTTAGGCATCCTTTAATGCTGTGGTTATTTATTAATTTCTGCAATAGATGTATCATTTACTGATTTCTGTTAAAGTACTCGCTACATTTTAATTCGGTTACACTGTTGAGCAACGAAATAAACCATTTTACAGAGCGCGTAACGAAGTGTTCTGCTGCATGTGAATATCAAAATTTGAAAAGTTTGGTAGAAAAAGAACAGGAAAATCTGGTGTTATTCGAATCTATGGGCGGCGAAGAGAACAGCGAGATTGAACCGATGGAGGGTGCTGTCAAGGATATTTTTCTTAGTTGTGTAGGAGCTGGACCGGTATTAGAGGAGAGTATTTGATAATGTTGTGCTTTTGTTAAAAAAAAAAACATGTCATTGATTCTGTTGTCAAAATGGGTAAAGATTGTTGCATAAATTATATTTGGGTTGATTTACTTTTCAGGAACCAGATCATTTTCAGTTGTTCAAAGTTTTTCATGAATTTTTAAATCTCATTTTACATTTTTCTATGTCCACAATTATTGTCGAATATTTAAGAAGACAAAAAAATACTAGATGCGAGATGTAAACATCTCGCATCTAGTATTTTTTTTTGGTAATGCATCATCATTTTTACTTAAAAAATGAAGTCATAGCTAAAGATCCACAAAAAGTATTCTGTATATTTTTAAAGAATTCGTATCACCTGAATCATTCAACTTCCCTTAATCTCATTTCCCTTTTTATAACTACTTGTCAGGTAGCAGTTTTCGAGATTTTTATTCGCAATTTCAAAATCATATGTATAGATTTAGGAATTTTTACTTCCAAAATATATTTCTCACATAAATTCTAATTTCATAAAATTCTAAGCTCTTTTGCGATATTACACGATATCATATTCCACGAAATGGTTTCAATTTCATATCACATAGCACCGTTGATATTAATGCAGTCTTTGCTTTTTTTGGAAGTAATTTCACGAATGTAAGATCTCTTGTTTGAAAATATTAAGTAAAATAATCAGTGAAAGAAACAGGATACTGCAAAAGATAGAGGATTTTCGATAACCTATGGGATAGTAATTACGAGAACGAATGGAGTAGATATTCTTTGAATTTTGAAGATTGGAAAATGACACTCGATTTCAGACAATTTTAACATAATTACCTAATAGTACCATTTATAATTACTTCATTGCTTATTAGCATTAATTGATATAAGCATCCGTTTTAATCGGTCGTAAAAATCTTGAAAGTATTGAATTTACTGATATTATTCGGGTATTGTCAGATATCCGGAATTATTGATGAAAAGAGTTGGGAATCCATCCATATTGCTCTCATTCTTGCATGTCATTTTATCAAAAAGTGCTGTGATTTGCTTCATGTGCAGTCTTCATTTAATTTAAACAATAATGATGAAAATGACATAAAGAACCAACAATATTTACAGAAGGAGAGGTATTGGATTGTTCCAGGCAATAATGATTTGGTGTCAACGACACTGATTGTGGCTGCAGTGCACACTTAGAGTCCAGAAGCTATCCTTGGAGCTGAAAGTACATTGCACAATGATTCAGGTAATTATAGCTAAAGAAGCTTCTAAAAAGCCAAAAAAGTGAAGCAGTAATGAGAGTATGAGTTTCAGCAAGTTTCAACAAGTTCAGAGCGTTCAAGTAACTAAGTAAGATAAAACTTACTCGGACAATGTTTGCATGTTCCGAATTCTCCAGGTTCACCGGGAGCGCCACGTTGACCCATTTTTCCAGGAGTCCCTTCTGGTCCTGATTGTCCTGTCTCTCCGGATAATCCGGGAGGTCCTGGGAAGGATTGTCCATCTGATCCAGGAATACCTTTTGGACCAGTTGGCCCTTGTGGACCTTGAAGACCAGGTGGTCCCTGTGAACCGGTCATGTAAATGACTCGGCCTGGTGCCCCTCGAGTCCCAGGTGGTCCAACTCTTCCAGGTCTTCCGATTGCTCCAGGTTGTCCTGGCATACTCTGAAAAGTATCGCTTAAGTCTGATAACGAATAAAAAAAAAGTTTCTAGTTTTTTAACCGATATAATTTATTCAACGCAGTTTTCCTTATAATTTTTCTTCTTTCATAATGTTTCATAATTGGTAGAAACGATTTGCATGAAGCATGTGGAATTCTTTGACGCATACCGCTTCTCCATGTATTCCATCTTTCGGTAGATCTCCTGGTGTACCTTTTGGTCCTGGTGGACCTTTTGGTCCCATGTTACCAGATACACCAGGACGCCCCGGAGGACATATGAGACAGATATCAGCATGCACTGCTGGTTTCACATGAGCATCAGCGGCATTTTTCCCATCTTTGCCATTGATTCCGTCTTTACCATCATTGCCAGGATCTCCTTCAGGTCCAACAGATCCTGATGGTCCCTAAATTACAACATTGCCATTAAAATATAATATTCATTTTGTTTTTTTTGTGTATCATCAAATCCTATCCTGTGATTTTATATGACATTGTAATTCAATTTATAATTTAATTTAACCTGATTGCATGTGCAGCAGACATTCAGTTCTGCATTAATTACAGCAGCGGTAGCATGTTCGTGCTCAGGCTTAATTTTTTCACTGATTGGCATCCAATGACCAAACATCCATTCACGTTTTAAACGTCGGACACTTGCCAGTTGCATTCCAGACATTTCGGCAAACATATTGCGTGAGCGTGACTATAAATTCGTTATCACTCAAAATTTCTGTTTTTTTTCGCAATTACGAAGACAATCAATGCATACAATCAATTTGTCATAGTTCGAAAGAACTATCATTGAATAATTGAATATCATGAAAATAAAGGAACTGAAAAGATTAAAAATGGTAACTCTGTGATAAAGTAGTTTGTCTTAACACAATTTTAATATAATCTCTCAAGTAATACGTAATGGTTAATACACAACACGTAGAATGCACACACGTGTAATGTCTACTACTTGTTCGTGGACGATGTGATAGGAAAAGAGAGTAGTTTCATATGTTCATTGAAACTTGAACTTCCTTATTAGTATGTGCAGCAGAGAGCAGAAACCTTGCCTTGCAGTATTCTGTTTCATCGTTAATATGACTATGAAGTGATTGCACATAAAAATGCAATGCAGGTAGTGTAATTACTGCAGCAATAACGGCTACTGTTGAGAATGCAACTGCAATAACCGTTAATCGGCGCAAATGTTGCTGTTCCAAATCTTCCTTATCACATCCCATTGCTATCGACATAATTAAATTTAGATCTGAAAAAAAAGGATGAGAATAATTAAAACTGAATTTTCTTTGGCCTCAATTTAAAATTCATCTTCTAAATTTAGTTAGCTGTGGAAAATGATATTCTAGTATCTACGAAGTTAATTGTAATAATTATGGAATAATTCAAATAATTGATTAAAATAACATGAGTACAAATTTAGGAAGGTTAAGATAATCGGATGCTATCAAAAATTAAGACTAAAATAATGATAAAAATGATTAAGATTAGATTAGACAAGATTAGATGTGGAGCTGATCTGTTCAATTGTAATGACGATCTGAAATTGGAATAAAAATTTAGATTATAACATTTATAGACATTTAGATATTTGAATATAACGTATGAAATTGGAAAGAAATAGTCATTAATTGAGGTCAGATGAAAGCAATGTCATGAGATTAGAATTAGTGAAATGTAACATTAATAGCATCTTCCGTCCTTTCTATCTACTTAATGATACAATGGGCAGTCATTGTGTTTGCTGGCGGTAAACTAACTATCCGCACTATTGCTATCCTCTGATCGGACATTTTATTCTGTTGCAAACTTCACTTTTTCCACTTGGTTTATATTACTATTCTGCTGTATTGTATCATATCAGAGGCATCCCACCTCTTCGTATAGTATTTGAAAGAAGATTTTTATCGCTCTCTTGATGGATATGTTGAAAATTCTAAGGAGTTTGTTCACATGATACATTAATTTTCTGCATCATCTAAACGTAACAAATTTAAACTATTTGTTAATATATCCCTGATATCAAAAAAAAAGATCGGAAATTAATTGTACAAATTTGAAAGTTTGGATTGAATATAAAATAAAATGGAGAGTGAATTTATGGAAATAGAATATCAGCTCAATCTGAAGCACCAAATATATTGAAAGTTAGCATGAGGGGACGAAAGAAGATATTAAAGAAAAGAAAAGCATTAGCAAGGTTACCGTAATCTGCTTATTCAGGCTTGTTTATGAGATATCGAAGAAGGGGATTAGAAGTAGTCTTATGACTAAGATAAACGCGAATCTGCGGGATTCCATATATAACTATCGAGGATTTAAATTTATATGTTTGATACGATCATAATATAGCATAATTGTGCCATATCAATAGATAATATATATGAAAAAACTTCAGAATATCATTTGGAAACTAATTCAAATATTTTAATCTATCTGTTAACTGGCCGATTGATTGATTGATTATAATTTCCTGAATGTAGCTTTAAAAGCATGTAGTGAAATATCAATGGAAGGTCGATTTCACATTAAATAAAAGAAAAACTTATCAATGGAAGATCGATCTACTACATTAAATAGTAACAGAGAAAAATTTTCAAATGTCTTGCAGACAGATAAAAATAAATCAGTTCCATGCTAACGTTTTATTTTAGATAAGCAATTCGCGTTTTTTTTTTTAAACACTGCTTTTACTACACTTTTTTTATTTTAAATAATTGATGCTAATTAGGAGATTTTATTAATTAACAATTAAAAATAGCTATTTAGGAAATATTTGCTTTTTTATAAGTCTGGCAAATGGATTTATCTTTCAATTCGAACAGGACGACGAACATTCATTTGTCATTGATCAGAGAGATTTTTAATTTGTATGAATGCGGACAGCAGTCACCTGTAGAAGTCATTTTGGCGACAGCATATTGGTCGCAAATGCAATCAAAGACAATAATTCGCTGCTCATTTCGGGGAAAGAAGAAAATTCAACATTAACAAAATTTTATATTAATAAAACGTTTCAAAAGTCTGTCACAAAGTTTATTGAAATTTTCGAAATAAAAGAAAAAAATTAATTTTTACTAAAAACTTTTTTATTATATTCTATTTCATATTTATATTTGGACAAATAGCACAAAAGCTAAATGAATTTTATTATTAAATAAAAACTTCTGAAACAGACAGAATATTTAAAATAATTTAACAAAAAACTTCTTCCTTTACAGCTACAATAGCCTATTGATATCAAAATGAATCAAATGAATCAAAATCGGAATATTTCTGATTCATCATTTGGATTTCCGTTTTTTCTCTTACTATGAAACACTTCTCATTTTACAAAATTTTCTGGAATGTATATGATCATGAATATGATCATATTGATTTTTTTTATAAGTATCAAAGTAGGTCTCTGCCTTGTAATTTATCTTCTCTTCCTTGAACAATTTCAATTTTATAAAAATGGGATGAGTGTAAATTAATTGATTAGTCGATCCAATGTAATAAAGACGTGAATTTGAGACCTGTGTATGTGTATGTGTATGTGTGTGTGTGTGTGTGTGTGTGTATTTATGTGACACAATTTAAAATTCTAGTTAAGGAAAAAAAAGGGACATGAAGTAAAAAACAAAAGATAACTGTTGACCTGAAAATATCATTTGACCCGTATGTCCACCTATTTGTGCTCATCATTAATACTGTTTTCCGCTATTGTCTCTTTTACATATTAATCGTTTTTTCAAGTGGTTTTAAAAAAATACCTCCGTCGTCATTTTCATTCCATTTGAATGATTACAGGCTCCAACACGGCTATTTTTATTGTGCGGCAAATTTCTTTTTCACAAAAATATATTTCGACAAATTTGAAAAAGCGTGCGGTAAATTTTAAAGAATTATATATTCAATGTATTTTGCAATTATTTTTTAGTAATTTATAATTTGCAAAAAAATTTTTTTCCAATAATTTTTTATAAAAAAATAAGAAAGAAATTTTTTGTTTATTTATTTTGTATGATTTTTGGATTTTCTGAGTATTGACAACTTTTGATTAGAAATTTACTAATGCATTGTGAATTACTCTAAAATATCACTTAGAAAAAGATATCTAATAATTGATTAGCTTATTTAGGAACGGAACTTTTATATCACTGAAATCTTATACCGCCACATTTAACTTATGAATTGGAAAATGATGAAAGATTTGGAGAACGATGATTATCGTCAAATGCGACGGATAGCATTTCTCGCAATTGTTGTTTCAACTACTGCTGTTGTTTCAGCAGTAATTACATTGCCAATGCTTTATAGTTTTATTCAGACATTAGAAAATCATTTATTGCTTGAAACTCATTTTTGCAAGGTAAAAATTTCATCAATTTGAAAATGATCATTTGCAAAGTGATTTTCTCATTCACATTAAAAATAAGTGTGTGTGTGTGTGTGTGTGTGTGTGTGTGTGTGTGTGTGTGTGTACATTGAAATTCAAGATATGTAAATTGAATGGAATTTGGAAACATCTTTGCTAATTCTGCAATAATATTAGAGCATGAAATGTTGAGAATTTAATGAAGGACAGATAAATATTAAGTGCTAGAAAAGTTTGATAAGAGATTTGAAATAATATTAAAGTTAGACTAGAGAAGTTTTAAATTTTCATACATTTCATAACATCAGTAACATTGATAATAATGTTTCCAGTCTCGAACAAAAGATATGTGGTCCGAAATTACAGCACTCCAGATTAATAAAAAATTTCTCAGCCGTATTAAAAGAGAATGGTCATTCGGTAAATGGATGTCGGCTAATTTTTATAAAGATATTGGTGATGATACTGGCAGTAACTATAGAACAAATTCAATTTCACAGATTAGTGAATCGGATCGGATAATGAATGGCAATTACAATCGACAATGTTGCACGTGTCATATGGTAAATTATTCAGTAGCATTTCTTCTTTTTTGATAAGTTAAAGAAATAGATGGAACAATGAAGAATGAATCAATTTATAATTTCCTTTTATTTCCTTCTAAATGTTTGGTGAACCATTATAATGCGATAGAAACAGTAAAATGCAACAGAATTTTCAGTTTAAAATTTTGAAATTTAATTTCTTAATGTCGTCGTAATCATAAAGAAGGAAATGAAAGCATTTGTTGAATTTATTTTTCTCTTTTATTTGTTTATTCATTTAATAATTTAGTAATTCACAAAGCAAATAAAGGTAATACTAAATTTTTTCATATTCAATTTATTTTATTATTTTCTAAAATTGAATTTTCTCACATCAAAAATGATAATAATATATTCTTTATGAAAAGTACAAATACTCAAATCTTCACTTAAAAATTTGATATGATTTGTATGTATTAATTTTTCAATATATCGCATATTTGATGTTAAAATTATAGGGTGCTGTAGGACCTCCCGGTCCAGAAGGTGTAGAGGGAAATAAAGGAATTGATGGATATCCGGGAAAAGATGGGAAACCAGGAAAGGATTCGGAAATTTTTCCATTTTCATCAAAGGAGAATATTCAGAGTCAAGAAGAGTGCATCATTTGTCCACCAGGTCCACCAGGACATCCGGGTTCTATTGGTTCCAAAGGGCCTCCAGGTCCTAAAGGAGCACCTGGCAATCGCGGAAATGATGGAGAAATGGGTGAAGATGTTAGTTTTATAATTTTTGCAGATAACTCATTCATCAGTTAAATATTTTAAATTTCTGATACAACTGTTCGTGATCCATTTAGTAAAAGATATGGAAAAATTTGCATTTTCGTTTCAGGGGTTGGCTGGACAAGCAGGATTTAAAGGTCGGCGGGGACAAATAGGGAAACCAGGTAAGCGCGGTATACCAGGACGGTTAATCTATATACCTGGGTCTATTGGTCCGGATGGGCCAAAAGGCAATTTGGGCGATCTGGGACCAAATGGTGTGCCTGGTATTGACGGTATCTCTTACCCAGGTCCACCTGGTGAACCGGGTAATGATGGTAGGAATGGAGCAGAAGGTAAGCCAGGCTTACCGGGATCTTTAGGTCCTCCAGGTGAGGATGGTAAACCAGGCAGTTGCAATCATTGTCCAGGTAAATAATTTTCCATATTTGATTTGTAAATATTTGTTTATATCAACAATTACAGAAATTCCAGAAATGAAAATAATTGAATACACTTAGATTAATAGTTAAAAATATTTGGAGAAAAAGCAACATATATTTCTTTTCATATCAACATTTCATTATCATGATCTTTTACAGCTCCTCGACTACCGCCAGGATACTGAAACCTGAAAAAAAGTTTCAGAAATTAAACAAAAATTTGTTTAATGCATGTTTCCAGAACAATGCCATATTATCTTCAGGCATCAGATCAACTGTTTAATTCAGTCGTGTATTTATTTCAAAATTTTGCTGTCAAATGAATCATTAATGGTGCTATTTTAAGTTTAGGAATAGATTTAAAATTATTTAATGAATTTTTTGGATATACAAAAAGGAAGAAATGATTTCAGTTAATTTCCTTCTATCCCAACATAATTAATTAATTATTTATTAATGCTACACTTCATTTACAATTGGTTTTTTTGAAACAAAACTTTTTTGAAATAAACCATAACCATAACTATCGAAGACTTTTTGCGTAATTTAAGATTTATATGTTTATTTTATTAGAGAATAATTTATTGCGAATTAATGACTCTTTATATAATTTAGCCAAAGTTCAAAGTTTACTATACATTTCAATAATATAAAATTTGCTTACATTCGATTAACTATTTTTGTTAAGAAAAAAGAAACAAAGAAAATATTTTGATTTACAAACGGAAATAATTACACACAAATAAAAGTTTTACGCGTAAAAGATATATACCAATGAGTTGAATCATTTCGATGAATGCAAGTAAAGATTTGAGAGTTTTTAAATCTTTGCAAAATTTTCATTCATTATTTAGAAATCAATCTTTTTGATCTGAAATCTCTCTTGCTTATATAATGTAATATAATATAACAAAAAAGCAATGATAGGTCAAGAAAGGTCAAAAAATATTGTAAAAGAAAAAATAGCATATTGATGATAAATGTGATACGTTCGACGAGATTCCAAATAACACACAAATAATATTTGTTACGCTTAATTAAATTATATACTTTTTGTAATAGCAAAAGTCATAATTGATGATGTTCAACCGAGGTATTTGTGAGTTAAACGTAAATTTAAGAGTAAAATTACGGTCATAATTAGAATCTAAACTTGAACATTAATGAAAAATAATGACTTTTTACATTTTGATAAGAAAAAAAAATTTTTATAAGAAGTTTATCCGACGATAAATGAGAAATGATAAATTATAAATTGACAAATTTAATAAATTCATTCAAAAACAATGATTTTATTTTGGTAGTAAAAAGAAATATGTAGGAAACAAAAAATAAGATAATATTATTGCTAATTGTATGAAATAGAAAATAGACAAAAGATTAGAAATACATTTATTAAAGTATTTACAACACTAAACCACAACGATAAATGTAAAACATTGATACTACAAATGAAATGATATATCCCGTCTAGAAAAATAGGAAAATTTTTTAGAAATTATAATTAAATCCTCGTAAAATCGTAATTGTTTTAAATTGCTTCATTTTTAATATTGTGTTGACAAGGATCTACAATGATTCGCAACGATTTCGGATCTTTTATCCATGCTGGACCATTGCCTCGTTTTGAACTTGCCAATAATTGTCCTAAAATAGGTGAAAGATCTAAAATGTTTATTTCAAAATTAGAATGAATAAAAAAATGATATGACAGTTGATAATAATAACCATGTTCATCATACTCTTGATGTGATAATCGGCGATTATCATCAGTTATCGCTAATTGTTTTCGACTGAAATGATGAACAATTCCCGCTCCAAATGCATCACCTAACACATTAATTGATGTTCGGATGCGGTCCCTGTAGGAAAAAAACAACAAACATTATATTTTTTCTAATTAATAAAAATTGTATAAAGTATCATTAATTAGAACGGTTGCAAGCATACGATTAAATAAATTTTGAGCCTTAGTTAAAATATATATTATTAAAGAAAATTTAGTTTCGATAGATTGAAGTTTGTTGTGAAAAAAATTTGCCACAAAAGATAAAAAATTGTTTTTATTAACTTTGTATCCCTCACTTATTCATACATTCTTCATTTTGTTTACAAATGAAATTTTAAGAGAAATTTAAAAGAGCCATGAAAATAAGAAGACTGGAAATAAGAGCGCTATTTACTTAGACTTACATCTTTTCCTTCACTTTTGATTTCTTTTCATTTGATTTATTTGATGAAAGATTCGAATAGATGTCAAATAGTTAAGAGGTCCAAACTATCATTAATTTATTATAACAAAAAATGAAAAGTTAAATCTAAAATTTATAAAACTTACAAAAGCCAATCAACGGCCACAATTAAGGAAACATCATTTACAGGTAAACCAACCGCTGTTAAAACGATTAACATTGTAACCAAACCAGCTGATGGTACCGATGCTGCACCTATAGATGCCAATGTTGCCGTTAAACTGAAATTTTCAATTTTTAAATTTTAGCTTAAAACATAAATCATAATTAGCAATTAAAAATGAAGCAGGAAATTCCAAAACAAGAAAAAATCTCTTCCATGATAATAAATATAATAAAAACCTAATGGTGATAACTTGGCCAAATGATAGAACAACACCATTTATTTGGGATATAAAAATAGCTGCAACTGCCTCATATAATGCTGTACCATCCTGTAAAATAACTCTAATCGTTGAAATTTTAAAAGTTGAAGAAAATAATATTTGTGAAAAACAAAAATCTATGAGAGAGGGAAAGAAGACAAATCTACCATATTAATAGTTGCTCCAACAGGTAATACAAATCGAGTCACTCGTCGATCAATTCCCAAATTTTCTTCCAAACATTTGAATGTAATAGGAAGAGTTGCCGAACTTAAATAAGAAAAATTAAACTAATAATAATGGTAAATAAAAAGCAAAAAAACATTCTTAACATTCTTATCATCTTCAAATAATTTTTCAAAAGTAAAAAATTAAAAGAAGATAAAGAAATTTGATAAATGGTAAAACCTTGAAGCTGTTCCAAGAGCGGTAAGCCATGCTTGTAGCAAACCTCGCATAAAAGTAAATGGATTCTTCCTGGTACAGATAAAGAATAAAAGTGGTAAACTGATCAATGCATGAATGATAAGTCCTAGCAATACTGTTATCACATACATTGCCAACATTCGTGCTATATTTGCTAGATCATCAATTTCCAAAATTTTTCCAGCTACCAAACACATTATTCCAATTGGTGAATACCTTAATAACAAAAATCTTTCTTATTTTTCTTTTTCTTTTAAATAAAATAATTATTTAATTCATTTTTTAATTTATCAATTGATAATTTTTTTGTAAAATTACTTTATCAAAATTTCGTAAAATTTAATTGTGCAAATTAATAGGATGGCAAATTTAGCAACATATTTTTCAACGTTTTTTCATTCTGATCTCTATTATATTTTACATAAATGCATACCACATGATATACATCACAAGTTTCATAATCACTTTATCCAGTATGGAGAAGAAATTAACCACAGTATAAGCCTGCTCACCAAGTTGGCTTAATACTATTCCAAATGATATGCAAAATACTATTACACCTACAACAAAGAGATGATACATGGAATAATAAATATGATAAATAACATCAAACCTATGGCAATTTTTTCATCTCAAACAAAATTTCTTATCAACTGATAAGAGAGCTAAATTTTTCAATTATTAAAGATGAAAAAATTCTTACCGAGAACATTCATACCATCGGTATATTCAACCGATGGTTTCATAACATCAAGAGAACCGTTTGTAATTGTTTGTAAGATTTCAGAATTGTTCTTTTTAGTAATTTTTGATTTCGCCGGAATATATTTCGTTTGCACTTGTTGGAATGTTGCTTGTACAATATTTTCCGGAAATGTATTTCTGAAATAAATTAAATTACTTTAAAAAAGTATATAAGGAAAGCTTTTAAAACCAAAACCCATACTTTTTTTTATCTCTGTTCTTCTAATTGAATTTTCTCCTTCAGTCTTCCTTCTCCCTCTTCCTCTCTCTCTCCCTCTCTCTCTCTCCAAAAGTATTATTATTGAAATTAATTCAATTCTTTCAAAAAATTAAATTAATATTTCTGCTTTAAACACTCGGACTTAATTTTCATATTTGTCCCTTTTGTTTATCCAACTAAACGTTTTCAAATTTAGTTTGAATTTTAACCAATTTGAGAAAGCACATTGCTTCCTTTTCCTTTCCTTTCCACTCTTTCGATCTCTCTATATATTCCGGAGAGCACTTCTCGACTTTCGGAATTACCTGCCTTCTTGATTTGTACGCAAACTTGATCCATAGACCCATCTTTTTTCAAAGAGGGGTTCTTTAAGTTACCTCAATAAATCGAGGAATGTTTCGAGAGTACTGACTGTTTTTGTTTCTATATTTTCACCAATATCATGTTTGATTGTTGGATCACCGGGATGTATTGTTAATACGAGAAATATGCCCGTCTAAAATTTTTAATATTGTTATTTTTTTGCAAAATTTAATTTTATCTAAAAATTTTCATTCCTTTTTTCTCCTCTCTCTCTCTCTTTCTCTCTCCTTCTTTCTCTCTCTCTCTGAAAAATATATTTTGTTAGATTATTTGTGTTGAAAACTAACGGCAACAGCAATAAGAGTAGTAGCAAAATAGTAAAATATTGCAAGGAAACCCAAACGACCAGATTGTTTTGCATCCAATTGAGCTAATCCTAAAATTTATTTTATTTTTTTCAATGAATTATTAAATAAAAATCTAAAATATTATTGTTTTAAGTGCTAATGATTTAGAAGGAATTTCAAATTCATTAATTAGTTCCATTACTAATTGCATTCATTAGAATTTCTCGAAACTAAATAGCAAAAAGAAAAGCTTATATCATCAGCTGCTGTATTAAACAATTATATTATTTTGAAATGAAAAAAAATTTCTAATGACATCATTATTTGCTAAATATGACATTTAAATTTAATTAGATTTAAGAATTAAATTAATGATACAATATTTCCACTGAGAATATTTGAATTTATTTGTCTTATTTTTTTCTCCAAATTAATTAATATATTACCTGAAATTAGCGAGCTGATAATAAGCGGTAGAATCATTAGTTTCAACATACGCATAAATAATTCGCCCGGAAAGCTAACCAGTACTATAGATTGGACTGTCAAATTTAACAATCGTCCAAAGAAGCCCAGTAGAATACCCAATAATACAGAAATAATTGTTAGCACCAGCAATAAATTTTGCCTTAACCAGCTTGCCATTTTCTACAAAAAAAGAATTTTAAAACTAAAGCAAACAACTGAACATATACATTATTATTTTCCTTCAGCTGTGTATGGAAAAATAGTTGAATGGAAATATTCATAAATGATGATCGTATTTCGGAAACATATAAGAGAATATTTTAAAGTCAAAATGGATCTATCATTTGCAAATATCATTTTTTATAAATATTTCGAAATATCATTGTTATCATACAAGCTAATTTAGATTTATGCCGAATTATGATTATCATTGAATGAAAAAAATTTATGTCGAAATATGATTATCGTTGAATAGAAATAGTAATATGAGATACGAAAATAGTAATAATAATGATTAATAATAGTGATTGTTTAATTAATAAAGATAGTTATAATAATAATAATAATAAGAAAATAATTATGAAAATATTTAAAAGAATCTAACGAATATGATCATGACATCTTAAGTAACTTTTATAAGATAAGATTCTAATTTCAATTGAAATGAAATAAAATTTAAATGAAATTATTATTAAACAAATACTCAGTATTATTATTTTTTTGATTACTTTAATTTTGTTAGAATAAAATTAAATGCAAAATTATTTTAAAGGTTTATTTAATATGAAAAAATAGGAAACAAAAACGATTGATGAAAGTGATAACTTATTTCTTTTTATCAGTAGTGATAAAAGGAATTTAATAGTTTTATGATATTTGAAAGAGAGAAAGAGGGAGGAAGAAGTGAATTTTGCTTTTGAATAAAATAATAAAGTAATATTATTAATATACACAATGATATATATTGAAAAATAGCATTATCAAAAGAGAATTGTGTGATATTTGTAATTCGATTAGTTGAATCGATAAATGCAAAAGCGAATTCCTAATAATTAACTTTTTCGCAATAATCTTTTTCGTTGTATTAACTCTATTATCACTGATAAACAATATTATTTATCTAACAGCTTCAATGATCATTGAATTTCTCTTTTTTCTTTAGTATAATTTCAATATTTGCTTTATATTGCAAACATCAAAAATTATTTCACAACACTTTAGTAGTTATTTTGTAAATATGATCAATGAATCATTATCATGTTTTTGAAAAAATAATAATTCAATTGTGATTTTCAATATTTACTTTCTTAATATAATCACTAATTGTGATGAATATGAATATGAATAATGAATAATGAATAATCATTGTATATGATCATCATTATTATGATCTTTGAATTTTTCTCAAATATTTGCTTTATATTACAGGTTATTATAAAGTAAACATAAATCTAACAATATATATAATTGTTTACTCATTTGATTAATCGAAAAATTTTTCATTCGAAATATAAATTCCAAATTTGTGAAAGTGTTATAAAATTATATGATATCATCTATAATAAATGTAATGAATAGACAAATTGAAAATGGCAATTAATAATAATATACATATTAGAAATTAAAAAATCCGTTAGTTAAAATGTTGGATAATTATTCAAAATAATTATCGTATTGTTTTTTTGCAAATAAATTAAAATCAATTTAAATTAGTAAACAAAAGTATAATCAATTCAAATAGACAATATTCAAATAGACAATATTTCAAATAAGTAATAATTACTTAATATAAGTAAATAAGTGCGAATTACCAATGATTTAACAAATATTTCTCAAATGTTAATTAATAATTTCGAAGAAAAATTTGAAATCAAATATTTAATAAAAGAATTTAAAAAGGAAAAAGAAAGTAAAAGAATTAATTTTAATTCAATGAAAATACGGTAAAGGTAAAATATAGCATAACATATTATAATTGCTGATAATTTTATAAAAATCAGCATTTTTTGAAATTCATAAAGATGAAAGAAAAATTATATCACAAATGAAATGAATTATTTACTGAAATATTAATGAATTGAGATTGAATTGAAATATGAGATAATTAAAAGATAGGTAATGAAACTGAGATAATTAAAAGGCAGGTAATGAAACAATAAAAACCATATGCAACTAATAAATATAGAAATGGTAATTTGAAATATCAATTACAGTATTAATAGTATTTGATTGTAATGAAAGTATTTTCAATTTATTATCTCTTTATGATAATTTCAGTTTATGCCGATTGTCATTAAGAACGAATTAAAATTGCTTTTCATCAATTAAAAAAAAATATGGATATATTAATTGCTTTATGAGAACATAAATGAAAATTTATTTTTGACTAAATTTTCGATTTAGTTTAAAGAGAAAAAGAGAGAGAGAGAGAGGGAGAGAGAAGGGAATGAAAGAGAGAAAGAGAGAGGAATTATAACCAATTTAAATTCATTCAAATTTTGAAAAGTAAGGCCAAATTACTGGAAAAAAGGAAAGAGAGATTTATGATAATTGTTGGAAATGTACGAAATTTTCAACTATCAATCATTAATAATATTAAAAATTAAGTAAATAAAAGTTTATTATTAATAAATCATTAAAATGTATTTTTAAAAACAACGAAAAAAAGGAAAACGAAATTCAAATAAAACAATGTCTTATTATGCCCTATTTAATTTCTTATCATATCATATCATATTCATATCTGAAAAGCTTTATAAATCATTTATTTTATTTACGAGAAATAAGTATTTGCCTATAGGGGGAAAATAAAATAATAATAATTGTTATATAATTTATCGATAATTTTGATTTATGAAAAGTAATGAAAAAAAGAAAATAAAAGGATACGGTAGATGTGAGTGAAAATAAATGAGTGTGGCAATAATATTTCATTTCATTTTGTTTTTCACTTGTTTAAATTTAATAATATTAAATTAATTTTAGCAAACAATTTAATTCTTTGTGTACGATTGATTTTTTGTTTATTTAAATAAACAATTTTTCATTTTCGTTTTTAATAATTATTCAAAAATTAATATTAAATTTAATGAAATTTTATAAGTTAAATAAATTATTCTTTTCATTTCTAACAAATTTCAATTAATTATTTACAGTTATGTTTATTTAATAATTTACAGCTGTGTTTACTTAATAATTTACAGCTATGTTTATTTTTCTTTTCCCTTTCTTTTTGTTAAAAAATTATAAGCAAAAGATTGGAACAAAAAGAAGGGAATAGAAATATATTTAGTAATGTGAGAAGAAATTTTTAAAACATAAAAAAATTTAATGTTTTTTTTCTGATATATTATTTGAATAATATTTTGAAGACAAAGGCATGAGAACTAGCTGACAGGAAAATAAAAGCAAGGCCTTAAAAATTTTATTATTTTATATGAAAAGATTTTTGAAGAAAAGGTTTTCTTTTCCTTTTTTTTTTTCAATGGCCTAATAAAATAAATTTTTTGAGAATATAATGATATGTTGAAGTAAAATTCAAAATGAAAGTAAATAGTTATGTTTGCTTAATTAATTTCGATGAGAAATTTAATATGTTTAACAACCAATTTTTATATAATTTAAAATAAATTAAAATTTTAATTATTCTTATTTACTATATCCATTATTTCTTTTGTTCTTTCATTATTTCTTACCTCTCTCTTCCACTTCATCAAATAAGTCTTTTTTTTGAAAAAGCAAAATGAAAATTAATATTATGTCATTTCAAAGATCGTTTTCAAATAAAACTTAACAGCACTATAGCGTTGTACTTTTGCTAATATATTATCCCAAAAATATAAATTGCATTTTCAATTTTAACAAATTTTGTTAGCTTTTGAAAAAGTAAAATGGAAAACTTAGATTATGTCATAATGATTTCAAAAATCGCTTTCGAATAAAACTTAGCAGCACTACAGCATTGCACTTTTGCCAATATATCATCCCAAAAATATAAATTGCATTTTCAATTTTAACAGATTTTGTTAGTTTCGATAAAAAATTTTTTTCATTTTATTAGCTTCGATCAAAATATTAAATGAAAAAAAATAATAAAGAAAATTTTTGAATTTTATTAGGATAAAAAGCAAACAAAGCAAATAATGCGAAATGCATGTCATGCATTTTTTGTTTTTATGAAAGTGCAAACAATTGCGATGCCAATTATGGATTTACTTAGATCAGTAGTATCCAACTGTGCACTAATTTTCTTCTACGATAAACAAATCTTACTGTTACTAATTTCTACTATTTCTTTAACTTGAAAAAAAGAATGAAAAGAATTAGTTGCAATGCAGAGAGTAAAATGATAAAGTGATCGTTAATTAAGAAGAGAACTAAGACATCTTAAATATGAAATATGAACTGGAATAAAATGTCTATTCTCTCTAATACAACAAATCTCAACTTAGTGGCAGCTTTCTGAAAAATGATTGATAATGTTATTATTGCAAAAATAATATAAAACAAAAGAAAAAATACAAAAAAGAAAATATGAAAAAGTATAATAATAATCATATTCAAACTTAAAATAAATTAAATTTAATTTAATTTAAGTTACGATGATAATGTTTTAATTTTTTTCAACGTTTTTTTATTTCTTTCGAAATTGAAATTTGAAATTAAATTAATTGAAAATTAAAGTAATGATGTGATTTATTATGAAAAATATGAAGAGATGAAAGGAAGAAAAAGCGAGGAAAATATTTTATGAAAAAAGTAAAATACATATCTGTGTGTTCAAAGGACAGGTAGATGATAGGTAGATGAACGTTAATTGAAATGTAATGGAAGCGGTCGATGTTGGTACTGTGACAGGCTTTAACAGTGTATTTAGCATTTTATTTTATAAAATCATTTATCGATGCATCTAAAACAGGTTCTTCTAACACAAATGCTCATTGTACATTTTATTTACTATCGTTTTTTAATACAGTATTTATTTACAGAATTGTTAGATTGGCTAAATTGAACTCTCAAATTTAGGAATAACTGAGAATTTAATCTTCACACTTTATTAATACCAATTTTTTCATTCCTATATTACAATAAAAATTCGATTTAAAAAAAATTTTTTGTTCTTTCCATTTGAAAGGTAAAATTTTATAATTAATAATCATTTTTAAAAGATAATAGCT